AAAAAGAGAAGAAGAGAAAAAGAGGCAAGCCATAGCCAAAGGGTTCGTGTCGGCTTCAACCAAACACTGACGGTGTGTGTATACACCTTTACATACACACCTTTATCTCTCACATCTTCCCAAATCAATCTTCTACTGTTTTCTTTTTTCCTCTTCTTACATTATTTTTGACACCAATTCTCAGTTTCTCTCTATCCCCTTTCTGGGTTTTGTTTGAACCCTAGCTCGCTTTGGATCCAGTGGTTTTAAGTTAAAGGTTCGATTTTTATTTCTGGGTTTGCTTGGTTCTGCTTAGTAAATGTTGGAAAAGGAGGAGACTTTAGAGGATCTGTAGTCAGATTTGAGCTGGGTTTCTCGATTTTACCGGGATTTTGATTTTGGGGTTAATCTAGATCAAGAATTGTTACTTTGTTTCATATCCAAAATTCAACTCTTTTTTTGGTTCCTGATCTAAAAATCGTTTCTTTTAGCTTTCTAAATGGGTTTTGTCTTCGGTGGTACTGAAATTTTGTCTGTAGCTGTGTTCTTCTCATAGATTTGATTCTGTTACATAATCTTAGGTTCTGAGTTTGAAATCTTGGTTTTAGTAACAGTTTTTGTGTTGCTTAGTGTGAAGTTATAAGGACTGAAATCTGTTCATTTTTGGTATGTTATTGAGCAGGTTCTTGTCTTGCTTTTGCTTTATTTGTTCTTTCTTTTTACATCTTTGTTTGAGTGACTATTGGATTTTCTCTTCAAATTGGGTAATAAATTTTTGAGAATCTGAGTCTTGTGATGTGCTTTAGACACAATGTAGAACAAAGCAGTTACATAAATGGCCCACATTTTGTCAGTAAATTTATGAAAGGGTTTTAAATGTTTCTACATAATGACATCTATCAGAGTTTTGTTTGTCTAAATTAGAGGAGGATATGTCCATCTTCTGCTTTTCTCTTTCAGAATAACATTTCAATCTTATAGTTTTCTCTTCTTTTGTTTTTGTTGCCCAGGTAAATTTATCAGGATTAAGGATTCTAAATGGCAGCTACCACTCATTCATCTGTAAAACCGGGAGGTTCGTGGAATATTTATTGCAACCCTTGCTTTGTTTTTGAGAAACTATGTTGCATAATGCATCCCATAACCTCTATTTGTTTCTTTGTAGGAGTTTTAAGTGATGCTTTGTGTAGGGAGCTCTGGCATGCCTGTGCTGGACCTCTTGTAACACTACCTCGTGAAGGGGAACGAGTTTATTATTTCCCTGAAGGCCACATGGAGCAGGTATTCTTATTGGGTTGAATCACTTAACATTGTGATAAACCGTATTACGCTCATTTGCTAAAGCCGGTTATGTTAATTGGAGTGTTCTTACTCTATGTCACTTCAGATAACCTTGTTTATGCTTTCTAGCTTAAAATAAAGTCACCAAAACATGTATTGTTGTATAGAACAGATAAATGTACTACATGTTTTGATTTCACATGATTTATTGTTTTGTGCATCTTATCTGGTTATCACATTTATGCATTTAATTGGTCACTGCCTATGCAGCTCGAGGCATCAATGCACCAAGGTTTGGAGCAACAGATGCCTTCCTTCAATCTTCCATCTAAGATTCTCTGTAAAGTGATCAACATCCAGCGCAGGGTAGGCTGAATTCCATGATATATGATAATTTTTCTTCATGAAATGGGTTGGCTAAATAATTTCATACCTTGTTGTGCTTCACTTTGCAACCTCAGGCAGAGCCCGAGACTGATGAAGTATATGCGCAAATAACCTTATTGCCAGAACTGGATGTAAGTAAATTTGATGGTTTGGTGTTCTACAAAATATGGTTTTGTATTTTTTTTTCCTGTTCTTGATTTTGGTGAAACTATTGTGTTTGGTTATCAGCAAAGCGAACCCACCAGCCCAGATGCCCCTGTTCAAGAACCTGAAAAGTGCATCGTACATTCATTTTGCAAGACACTAACTGCTTCAGACACAAGCACACATGGTGGATTCTCTGTGCTACGGCGACACGCAGATGATTGTCTCCCACCCTTGGTCAGACTTGCTTCCGGTGTTCTTGTTGCTTTTTGGAAACACCTCCAACTGCTTTTTTTTTTTTTTGTAACAGTTTGCTTTCTCTTTTCTAGGATATGTCCCAACAACCACCGTGGCAAGAATTGGTTGCAACTGATCTCCACAATAATGAATGGCATTTTAGGCACATTTTCCGAGGTTAATACACTTGGTATCTTATTATGAGATGGTCTACTGTGGTTCCTTTACCCCAATGCTACTGCTACTAGGAATCTTTAAAGCTTTACATAATTTGCATTAATATTATTGTTTCACGTTTTGTTTTAATCACAAGGTTGTGACTGACTACAGGCCAACCAAGGCGCCATTTGCTAACAACTGGATGGAGTGTTTTTGTTAGCTCGAAGAAACTAGTGGCTGGTGATGCTTTCATATTCTTAAGGCAAGTTCCTCATTTCATTTGTATGGATATTGTTTCTGCCATAAACGGCTGGACATGTGACATAGTATTGTCTTTCAGGGGTGAGAATGAAGAGCTCCGAGTTGGTGTTAGGCGGCACATGAGACAACAGACTAATATCCCGTCATCTGTCATTTCAAGTCATAGCATGCATATTGGGGTCCTTGCGACTGCAGCTCATGCCATTACAACAGGGACAATCTTTTCTGTCTTCTACAAGCCCAGGTCTTTTTCTTACTTTACTTTAATTGAGACATTAACTGGGATCAAAATCCTAAAAAACAGTTTAATGCCATCAAATGGTCGAAAACACGTCAGTTGATTCATCTGACTGTCAGCTTAATTTAGAAAACTTAATCTTTTGCTACGTTAGATGTCTCTGTCCGGTCTGGGACAGACACGCCAGCCTTTTTTTTTCTCCAAATATGCATCTTATGCCTTTGAGTTACTGTTGCTTGCATATGCTTGATGATAATCATTTTGCTGCAAATTCAGGCTGACGTATCTTCTATTATCAGGACAAGTAGGTCAGAGTTTATTGTGAGCGTCAATAGATATCTCGAAGCTAAGACCCAGAAGCTGTCTGTAGGCATGCGTTTCAAGATGAGATTCGAGGGTGAAGAAGCTCCCGAGAAAAGGTATCACATCTAACTATCTTGTTTTCTTTTCACTGATAAGCTGAATGCAATATAACTTCTGGTTTTTGATGTATTTATTTAATTGTTTTCTTATTTTAACAATGCAGGTTCAGTGGCACAATAGTTGGTGTTCAGGAAAACAAGTCTTCGGTCTGGCATGATTCTGAATGGAGATCGCTAAAGGTTAGAATATTCTACTGTTATACTTTGCAGTGGAGCAAGTTGTGGATTTGTATTTCTTTAGTTGAATGAATAGAGTGATGCATCTTAATATGCTTCTTTGCAATCTGATCATGCTTCAGGTTCAATGGGACGAACCCTCATCTGTATTTCGTCCTGAAAGAGTTTCACCATGGGAACTTGAGCCCCTAGTTGCAAATAGTACTCCTTCACAACCTCAGCCTCCACAAAGGAACAAACGACCGAGACCTCCTGGTTTACCTTCACCAACCACCGGTCCATCTGCTCCTGGTATTCTGTGTTCTTTTCTCTTTTGAACTGTTCTTCTTTGTGGCAGGTCTGGCTCTTTTTATTGATGCTCTCTTCAGTTACTCCAGATGGTGTGTGGAAATCCCCGGCAGACACTCCGTCCTCAGTGCCATTATTCTCTCCTCCTGCCAAAGCTGCTACGTTTGGTCATGGTGGGAACAAATCATTTGGAGTATCTATTGGATCAGCCTTTTGGCCCAGCAATGCAGATAGTGCAGCTGAATCCTTTGCTTCAGCGTTTAACAATGAATCTACTGAAAAGAAGCAAACTAATGGAAATGTCTGTAGGCTTTTTGGGTTTGAATTAGTTGAAAACGTTAATGTGGATGAATGTTTCTCTGCTGCCTCTGTGTCCGGTGCTGTCGCTGTAGATCAACCTGTCCCATCCAATGAGTTTGACTCTGGTCAGCAGTCTGAGCCGTTAAACATCAACCAATCTGATATTCCTTCGGGGAGTGGTGACCCTGAGAAATCCTCTTTGAGGTCTCCTCAAGAATCACAAAGTAGACAGATACGTAGCTGCACAAAGGTGATTATTAGCCTCTTGTATCGCTCGCTCTTTCAAAATCAATTTTTTTTTTTTTTTTGGGTCACAACTCCAATATTGGTCTTAAATTGTCAGACCGTGACTGCGTCTTGCTTTTGACTAAAACACAATGTTTTTGGCAATTTGATTTAGGTGCACATGCAAGGCAGTGCAGTAGGCAGAGCTGTTGATTTGACAAGGTCAGAGTGTTACGAAGATCTATTCAAGAAGCTGGAGGAGATGTTCGAAATCAAGGGTGAACTCTTAGAATCTACCAAAAAATGGCAAGTTGTTTACACCGATGATGAAGATGACATGATGATGGTTGGTGATGATCCATGGAAGTAAGTGCATTTGCGGTCTAATACTCACAAGAAACACAGCATTGTTTACAATTGCATGTAATCCTTTTTCTTTACTGTTGACATTATGGTCTTCTGTTTTCTGATGCAGTGAGTTCTGTGGAATGGTGAGAAAGATATTCATCTACACACCTGAGGAAGTGAAGAAACTTTCACCGAAGAACAAACTCGCAGTCAATGCAAGGATGCAGCCCAAAACTGATGCAGAGGAAAATGGGAATACAGAGGGCAGGTCATCATCTATGGCTGGATCAAGATGAGTATACCACTGTTATGCTTTAAATGTACTTGCCACGTAGGAAAGATGAAAGCAGAAGCAAGAGATCGTTAGACAATGTGAAAATTGAGAAGTCTGTGTATAGCAATGAAGTTTTATGTCTTCAGGTCCCATGAATTCACTTAGATGCAATGTGTTTTGAGGAGTTCTGTAGCTTTTGTACGGGAAAATGTGGAAATTAAGATTCACGTCTCGTTCTACGTTAAAAAATGGTCATAGGCAAAAATAAAATTATGAAACTAAATCTCCTCTTGCTTTATAGTTCTTTGTTCACATTGTGAGACCTTAAGAATAAATGATGGTACAAACAAAATTCGTTGCTTTTGTTTCAATCTTGTTGCCAAGATGAGATAAGCACACGACATCACAAGTAGAGAGACGCTGCGAATACAATGTCTCTTTTGATCTTGGAAACAGCTTCTTCTAGTTTAGCTTCAAGCTGTGTTTCTCCTATAGATTTTGCAGCTACTATGAGCTGTTGCAGAACTTCCTCCATTCTCCTTATCGCTCTGATCAAGCTCCCTTCGAAAACACGAGCAATCTCCATGACCTCATAGAATTTCGACCCTTTTGCCCAAGCATGCACCGCCTCCATTATATCTGGTCTGAACGATTGAACAAAACTCTCCACATCGATTTCGACCTAACACATTGCCATACCAGACAGAAAGTTATGGACCATAGCTCATTCAAATGGTCAAGTTTTCTTGGATGAGCAAGGAGAGAATGTGTTAGTGAATACCTTGCAGTCAAGCTGAAGTTCAGCAACACGCCTGGCTGTGTCTTGTAACTGTATGAATAGCAAGTCTAGTTCTTCTCTGGGTTTAGCGGCGTCAGGGAGTCTCTCTCGCCACACAAAGCAAGAGAGGAGCGAAACCAACTCCTCCACCTTTGCATCCTTGAAGATACCACTGAACATTAACTCCGTTAATGTCAATTCTTCTGCACTACTGATTTCACATGCAACCTTACCCTTCAACTCCACGACATTATCACTAGTGATGTATCTGCGTTTCAATAGAATAATAATAAAAATTAAGCTAATAAAGTCATCAATGAATCATTACATTCCCGTAACTTTAAAAAGAGCAAAAGAGAATGATGTAGCTGACGTATAAGATTGAGTTGGTTTCATAAGTATATTTTGAAAGTGAATGAAATGAATTTAGCAAATATTTACCCTAGTCTTCGTAAAACACGCTTTCTGGCCTTGAGCTCATCTTTAAACGCCAATGCTGTTGATGATCGGACAGTTTTTTTAAGTGACTTGATCTTGGCTGTTAGCTCTTCCTTCATGTGTAGAACTTTCAGCTTTTCTGTTATGAGGGGAGATTTCGCAATTTTGTGTTTTTCAAATAGGTTTTCCAGAGCCTCCAGCCGACGAACTGTCTTTTTGTAAGAGCTGCTCTTAATCTAACGAAGTAAAAGTTGTATTCATCTCTTGTGACAAATGAAAGATAGCAGAAGCAGAAAAGTACTGGGGAGAAAACAAAATACCTTCATATCAACTTCAGGATCTAGGGGTATTCCATCGGGATGTCTAGAGAGTAACTCAGAAACCTTCTTCAGAGCATTCTCTCGAGCTTCCAATGGTACAAGATCTTTTGGTATATTCATAATTGCACTGCTTAAACTCTTAATCTGTCCATGATGATAAAGAAAAACGACAAGGTCATCAATAGCAGAATCAAGGAGGATGAGCCGCAGAAGAGTGTATATAACGTTATAAAGGACTACGAAGACAAGAAAATAAAATTAATCGGAGCAGTCATGATACCTGAGATAAAGGAACAGTGACCACAACAGGCTCACCACGTTCCTTAATTGGAACAGCCTTAACTTTCTTTTTGCCAACACCATCTTTGCTAACCATACATCTAGTCAATACATCTACGGTGTAGTTTGCATCCTCCGGTCTTCTATTATCATCATCTGAATTAATTACTCATGTCAAGACGAAATTATTACAATGTGTGAACAGATTAATAACATTATACCAAAATTTAATCCTCAAGAGTTCCAACCTTCAGATAAGCTTTTGACTTTGTTAAATTTCATTATCACTCCCCATGTATCCTGGTCTTCAATGCCAAATGATTGTGGCTCTTCATCATCATTTGTGCAATCGAGACAAACAGCTCTGTTTGGCAGCAAAAAGGGTAAGCAGTACTTTGGAGTGAACACAATTTCACGTATATCCTTCTTCAGACTCTTATATTGCAAAATCAGGTTATAGTAATTTTTTAAGCTTTCTTCTTCTTCAATCACCATAGAGTCTCTCTCTTCTTCCAAGGATTTTATTTGCTTCTGCATAGACCAGGCCACAATCAGATCATATACATAAAGTGAACACTATATCATTAGGAAATCTAACATTTAGCATTTTGCAACTGCACCTCGAGATCAGGTATAGCACGGTCAGCTTGAAACTGAAAGAACGAATTGCGCAGAAGATTCTCAGGATCACCTTCTTCACACCGCAACTGATTTAGAAGCATGTTATAGCTCAAATGGAAGGCACTGGTGAATAAAGGAAACAAAACAGTCTTGGTGAGTGAATATGTCAAGAAGTCTAACCCTCTTAAAGCAGACTATCAATCAGGTTGATAATTTTCTACCCTGATAATAAAATATACATTGGAAATACTTAACAATGTACCTGTTCAAAGAATCAGCACTTCCTTTGAGCATTGATTTAGCAACAGCAGGTTCCATCTTCTCGTCGACCATGAGGATGCAGATACCTCGTTTGTCAATACCTCGACGTCCAGCACGACCACTCATCTGTATGTACTCTCCACTTGATAGCCACCGGAACTTGTCTCCATCAAACTTACGTACATTGGTAAACACAACCGTCTTTGCCGGCATGTTCAATCCAATACTAAATGTCTCTGTTGCAAACAAACACTAAAAGAAAATACTTCAAACTTCAGTGGCAATGACATAGTAAGAACGCGTATACACAATCGAAAAGAGGAAAAACTTAAATCAAAGTGATGCATGCCAAAGAAACTAAAGGAAAACATCACAAAATCACATACCAAAAGGTAGCAAGAATTGACAATATGGAAATTGTGGTTCTACGCCTTCACCTACCTTAATAAGACCTTCCTGAAATAATATCTCAATTACTTCTTTCAAAATTGGAAGCAGTCCTGAATGATGAACGCCTATACCACGTTTCAAGATGGGTAAAATATTTGACACCTGCAGTACATGAAGCCATGAATTATGTCAATTTCCCCGCAGGACAAATATATTTAACAAGCCAAATCGCATCTGAAACTAGATCAACTAAACAAGCACCAAGACGACCCTTTATGGAACATCAGATTTATGGAATATAAGCTATTACATGTTAGTGAAAAGTATAATATCTAGGGAAAGCTTAATTTTTGTGCAAGAGGATGGCTGGCTACAAGGCAAACAAAATATAAAATAAAAATTGAGATAAAAGAGGCGAGATTGGTGGGAAATCCACTAGTAGTAAGCCAATATACTAGCCATTTCCTACAGAGATGTGCACATGATCATCCTAGCCCACAGATAACCTCACAACATTGAAACATAACAATATGTTTCAAGAAGTTGTGGAAAGTATTCACAAAAGATATAGGTTAATGCGCATTATATAAACACTCCGGCATCTTAGAAAGAGCTTTAATGAATGCTTGCCTGAGGTAGCTTCTTATCATCATCTGAAAGCATATCAATTGCACTAGTAAAGATTGTCTCCACAGCGTCTTTCTCATCATCGCTGTTTAAATCCATCTTAGACATCTGTGGAACAAACAAACAGGTATTATACTCACGTTCTAGTAGTAAGAGCACACAGAGAATGAACTTCAGGTTGTAAAATACACATAAAACAAGACACGCCATATAGAGTCATTGCAAGGTGCAGGCAAGCACAGTAGAAAAATCATAAAAACAAATTTTGGACAGGCTATACAGAAAAAAAAAATATGGAGAGTGTGTTGCTGCAATGTAATAACTGACTGTCAAGATTAAGAATGTAGAAACTTTTTTAATTCAGTGGTGGGAATAGTATACTATAGACAATTCTTGATTCAGGTTAGGGCTTCTTTTGCGTCCAACTCCTACAATTGATCTCAAGATACCCAGAATACTCAGATCTTCAGCTACTAACTCTATTTAACCCCTATCAGGACTAACCGACTCCAGCAAGAGATTTTTTCTGAGCTGGCTAAGACAAAACACCGTAGTCAATAGACTTTGCTAGTTTATGAATCAATTGAAAACACGCATGAACAGATATAATAACCAATATAGGTACCACATCTGTAACGCCCCGACCGTAAAACTTGGATGCTACAACATCTTCACACAAGACTCCAGGAGCTTATAACAGTCCCTCAAACCCCATATCATTTTAAAAGGGATAAGACTGATCCCAAGCATAAAAAGAAGACAGAACAAAAAACACCCAAGTTTTGGGACCAATTTTCTTATTTTCAGCAGAAACAAATTCAGATTCCTGTTTGGCTACTAGTTACAAACAAAGAACATACCCCAAATGAGATGAAATGATCATATGACAGGGCTAATATCCAGGGATTTTGAAAGAAGTCAAATAAAAAAATTTGCTGGTAAACGATATATTTACTAGCACCAGACAAACAGAAGAGGAGGAAACTAACCTGCATAGCAAGTGCCTCGCATTCCTTTTTGCTGAAACTAAACAAAATTACGGGATCATATTGTCGCTGAATTATCATTTTCACCAATTTGAAAATATCACTTTCTTCACCAAGTTTTCCAATCACTAATCCCTTTTGAGACTTTCCATTATCTCTTTTCTTGTCACCCTCATTAGTCGGAACCAGTGCGTTAAGAGATTTCTGGAAGCTATCCTCGTGAAATTTAGCCTTTTCATCCACAACCAAGTAAAGTCCATTACCTCCAGCAGGAAAGACATAATGCTGAAGCGGAGTCGGCCGATAATCGGTGTAAACAATGTGGCATGGTTGTTGGTGAACCTGCAATACCAATTCTATAATCACATCTCCAGAGCAACCACGCCAAATATAATAAAATTTCATTTGTTTTAAACAGGCTGTTTTACTATGCCTACTCAAAGAAACACCATATATATGAAAACTACATTGCATTTCGCCAAGTCATGTTTCTATTTCCTCCAAAATAAATAAAGATATGAAATCATAATTGTAAGTTGATATGAAAATGTATTCATCCATTCACAAAAGAGAGGTAGAAGGCGTAGCAAGAGTGAAATTACCTTTGCAACCCAATCAGCAAACTCCTTGGCATTGGGAACAGTTGCAGATAGAAACACAAAACGAGAATTCTTCGGAGCCATGACAATACTCTCTTCCCAAACCACACCTCTTTCGCTATCTCGCATGTAATGCACCTCATCAAAAATAATCCAGGCAACCTCCCGCATAATCTCTGACCCTTTATACTGCATGCTACGCAAGATCTCTGTGGTCATGACCTGAAAAAAAAAAACAAAAAACTAAGAACAAATAGCAAATAAAGCAATCTCTGAGACAGAAATAAAAAGTAGTAAAGAAACTTACAAGGCAAGAGGCATTAGGATCAATAGTGACATCTCCAGTCATCAAACCAACATCAGAAAACTCTTCTTTAAAATCTCTGTACTTCTGATTACTAAGTGCCTTTATAGGAGAAGTGTAAATAACCCTCTGGTTTTCCTTCAAAGACATGGCAATAGCATATGATGCCACAACTGTTTTACCAGCAGATGTATGAGCTGAAACCTGAACATGAAACCATACACTACATTCAATTGAATGACACTAAACTAGAAAAGATCATAGCTTGAACCAAAAGATGTAAACTTTACAGATTGAATAACCAATTCAGTTACCAAAACCAAAATCAAGCAAAGCTTGGAGCTTTGAAATCAGAGTAAAGCTTACCATGACTGATTCGCCATTATCGAGACACTTGATAGCTTCAGATTGGAAGGAGTCAAGGGTAAAGGGGAAATCTTTAGCCGGTGGTTTATTGTGAACGGAGGGAGCAAGAGGAACGTAATTTTCAGGGAAGGAAACATCGTGAACGCAACCCACAAGCTCTTCGTTTATGATTTGGGTGGAATCGTCTTCTCTCTGAACCTTTTGCGGCGGAGCAGAATCAGAAGATTCCTCCACTGATTTTCTCTTCACGGAACCCATGAGAGAATGTAGTTAGTTCTCCGCCGACGAGTAACGTTTCTTCCGGTGGGTTTTCACAAAACGAAGAAGATGAATACTTTTGTCTCTCTCTCTCTCTCTCCACGTGCGTTTTAGGGTTTCCTTTAGGCCCAATTTAATTTACTCACTAAAGGCCCAATTGTTTTTTTTTGTCTCAACGGTAGGGGTTGGTTCATTATTAAGTCTTTATAGTAAAATGTCAAATGATTGTTAAATCTTGGTAAATTACATGAGTTATTATCTCGCCTTGAACATGTTTGATTACACATCAAGAAAAATCTAAGACTTTGAACAAAACATTTGCTTAACTCGCCTAAAAAAAAAAAAACGTTAGATTTATCAAAGTAGCATTGAAAATGTCACTAAAATCTTTATACTCTTCTTAGATAAGTTATACACTTATATGAATTAAGAGATAAAAACACATGAGAATGAATAATCTTATCATAATTTGCAAGTTTACGTAAAACTCCTTATTGGTAAAGACTTCGGAAACTTTGTATAGCTTGAATGCTCTTGACCGTACAAGACAAGCTTCCGAGCTTATTTATGAGAAATACCATCTACTGTGGAGGACAACAACAGTTTTGGTATCACGCAAATCCCACAAAGCTTCTGAAATTCCATTCGCCCTACTACTCCATGTAACACAAGAAGATAATCAATTTGATAAACACAATTGAAAGCAGACCAAGTAACTTGTTTTAACACAGAACCAGCAACCTTAGTATGGTGGTGGAACAAGAGCCAATAGTTTGATTGGGAACCAAAACACATCAACACAATGCAAAAGAGATTATTATTATTATACATTACAAGGATATATATATATATATATATATAGCCTCACAATCCAACGGAGAAGATATCAATCGCTCTGAAAAACAAAGAGAGAATAATAACTGGTTAAATTTCATGAAAGTACATAATCAAATTTGTTTTGCATCAAAAAATGAAGTTTAGCCATCGTCATTCGTTTTCTCTTTATGAAATTGTATCTCAGATTATTGGACTGGGAAAAGAATATATTATTACCTCGCTGTCTTCTGGTTCTAGTGGAAAGTAATATTGAATAAGAGGAATGTGTTGGATTTTATAGTAATCTTCTCCTCCTTTGGAAACTTTCTTATGAAATTCTCTTTCATATGTGCTGATGTTCAATTCCTTTATTGAAGTGATAAATCTCAGCCCATCTGGAAGCTCCTTTAGCTTATGACACCAACGAATAGTGAGAGAATGAAGAAGGGGCATGGAGCCTTCTTCTACTATCCACTCTTCCCACTCAGTTAATCCATCTATATATAGATTGTGCAATTGAGGAAACCCACCGCTGGAGCAAACCATTCTCCTCCCAACATAAGCGTAATCCAATAAAGTAACCACTTTCAATTGTAGCAGTTTTTCTAGAATTGGCATCGGATCCTCCTCCAAATGACATTCATCTAGAGATATGGTTGTAAGATGAGAAGGAAAATGTTGCACATCAGGTAACATCAACTTCGGGTGTTTGAGATGAACGGAATTCCTGGGATATTCTATAGTAAGATCTTCCAAGTGTCCCAATATACTTAGAGTTGAAGATAGAGTTTCCATACGCCACCCCTCGCCACTGATTATGATATGGAGACTCCTTAGCCTTGTCATACGGTGAAGATCCGTCGCATTGCTATTCTCTGTTGAGAAATGCTTCAACGTCTCCAATTTGAGTAGATTACCCAATTCCAATTTTGTCCTACTAGTTGTACTCCATGGTAAGCAGAGATATCTCAGTTCTAGCATCTCTTTAAAGACATTGGGCACGTAAGTCCGACATTGGGCACCTATATCTAGATTAAGATAGATCAGCGACTTCAGGTTCCTCAAAGATGAAGGTAGATGAGTTACCTTTGTCCACTCTAAACTCAAATACTTCAAGTGGATGAGCTTTCCAATGCTAGAAGATAACTTCCCTCCCTCAAATCGAGCTCCAAAGAGATCTAAAATCCTCAACAATGGTAACTCCATGAAGTTTGATCTCTTCATAAACCCATATTGAACTGTAATAAACAAGAGAGATCTCAGTTTGGAATTCTTCATCTCCCTCTCTTCATATGTGCCGTACACAACGAGTCTACGTGATCTGCTAGAAGCTTGAGAGTAAACGCTTGAGCTGTTGGCTGGATCACTAACAATCTTTATAAAGCTCTCTTCCTTGGCTTTTAACAAACAAATCTCTCTCATCAAGTCATGCAACTGACAATTTTCAAATCTCGAAGTCGCCAAGTTTCTTTCAGAAATAACCATATTTCTCTTCACTAACTCTTCTATGTAGAGATCCGCAACATCTCGAATGGTAGCTCCCTCGTAATGCCTAGGATTTGTTATACCTTCTGCAGCCCAGACATAAGACAATCTTTCTATTTCTATTTTATGATCTTCTGGAAAAGAGGCTAGGTAGAGTAAGCAGTGCTTCAAGTAACTAGGCAATCCTTCAAAGCTCAAAGACAGAACATGATTGATCGAACTGCTATCGTCATCATTGGAACTAATCCCACCTCCAACAATGTGAGATTTAATATTCTCAGATATCATTTGCCACTGACGTGGTGTGTGTTGTGCAGCTAACAACCCTCCTAACACTTTGACAGCCAATGGTAGTCCTCCACAATGTTTTATCATCTCCTTAGCCATCTCTACCATATCTTTATCAATTATATATCCTACACAACATTATGCAGTCAAATATCAATTAGCGTTGGATCTTTAATTTTAAGATATTTGTGAAACTAGACGTGCTTGTTATTTTTTTCACTAATATCTCAAAATTCCAAAAATTTGATAATCTTTATGAAAGGTTATTAGAAGTCTAGGAAGTAGTATACATAATGATTTACTACTTCCTCAAGAAACAAAGGTTTACATACTAGGTATTCAAGATCTTAAATAATATTTCTTTTTGGGGTTCTTTTTAAAACTCATTAACAGTATTTTAAAAGTAATTAATAATTAAAAAAAAAAAATTTGCTTATAATTCCTCTAGAATTTTGAGGACGAACATTATTTTGTTCTATCATTCCTTTTTCATGTTTGAATATTGAAAAGAATTTCATAGTAAATGGTAAAAAAATGAGAAACAAAGAGGAACAAAATATTTCTCCCTCTTTTTTTTTTGTCAAATTTACCCAGTTTGACTCAAAACTTAGCAAAAATAACTAGAATGACTCTCAATCCAAATGGATAACTAGACTAACCTAAATTTTATGTAAAAAGACTATTTAACCTTTCATTATGCCAATTTCCTTTAAAAATAAAAACCAAATTCGTTTTTTTAATTAAAAATCAAATATGGCATATAATTTTAACAAGTCTGCTACATTAAAATTAAGTCTGCCATATCCTAATTTTGCAGATTTTTTTAAAAATTGCCAAACATAATCTTGTCGTGATAAGATCCGATAACTCTGTCATGATAGAATAAAAATCTGTCAAAACATGAAAAAATCTGTTGTCACTAAATAGGTCATTCCAGTAATTTATTTTTAATTCAAGAAATCTGCTATAAAACACCAGATTTTTGTAAATTAAACATAAATCTGGCATAACATAAAAAAAATCTGTCATAACGTTAAACATATCGGTTGCGACTATATGTCATTCTAGCAATTTTAATTTTTTTAAAACAAATCTGCTATAACATTCCAGATTTTTTGTTAACATTAAAAAATCTGTCATAACGTAAAACAAATCTGTGAGCACTAAAAAGTCAAACTAGTAATTATTTTTTATTAACAAATCTGCTGTATTATGACAGTTTTTTTCCAAAAAATATAAGTCTGACGCCAATAGAAACAAAAATCTGCTACATATTATAATAAAACTGTCAAAATTACGAAAGTCTGAGGCGTCATCATAATATAAGTCTGGCAAAAGAAAAAAATCTGCTACAAATATAATATCTGTCGTAACCATATTCAAATAAGTCTGTGGGAGGAAAAAAACTGCCGTAGAAAATCTGTCGTAGACTATTAAGTCTGTCAGAGAAAATAAATCTGTCACAACGACGCCCACAGACTTTTAACGGCAGATTTGTTTTTCTGAAAAAATTTCACCCACGTTTCCAAAAAAATCAGAGGGTATTATTGACTTTATTTTTTTTCCTAACAAAGAGACAAAGGGTATTTTGGTCAGAAAAATAACTAGATTAACCCATACATTTTATGAGTTATTTTAGTAATTAAACCTTATTTTCGGGTCAAACTAGTTTTTTTCCCTTTTTTTTTTCTAAAAACTTGTCACCAAGTAAAACATATGTTTTTGAAAATTTTATGGGTTAATTTTTAAATTTTTTTAATAATAATTGATTTTGTGGCTATGTTTGAGTTTGTGAGAATACAAATATGTGTTGTATATAAAGTTCTTTTTTTTTTTTGTTTTTTTTTCATACAATTGATGGCTGATCTGGGTGTTGGGATACAAACCAACGTCCCACACCGGAATATTAGAAAAGATCTGTCTAATATATAAGTAAAGTTCAACTCCAATTAGTATGATAATTTTTGGGTAGGAGACCAATAACAAATGCATGCGAGCTTGGTTTTTAGACCCAAAGCGGACAATATCATAATAATACGGGAGTTAGAATGGGCTTAGAAAGACCAATAAATGGTATCAGAGCCTAAGTCGAAAAAGGTAGACCTAGGGATGTGGGACGTATGATCGGTGTGGGAGAAGCCCTCAATGTGATACGATAAGAATGTGCCTCAAGAGTCTCGCGAATAAGAAGGTGCCGGTGCTAGGGTACCAAGGTTTCGCTAGAGGACAGGTCCAATGTTTGTGGTCCTTGGTTTGAAGGGAATATTGTTGGGATACAAATTAACGTCCCACATCGAAATATTAAAAAAAGACTAGGCCAATCCCTGCACAACGTGCGGGTTTTTTCATCCATAATCTATATCTATATCTATATATACATTTTTGGAGTACATTTAGTAAATAAATCATGAAGTTGGGATGTATTTACGAGTCAATGCCACTGCATTTAATTATTTTTCATATTTAAAGATTAAGATTTGCCGTATAACAATATTGCAAAAATATCTCTATATTAACTCAAATATTAGTTTCTAAAATCTTACCTACGAGATTTTTAAGAGCATTTAATTAATACCAAATTATCATTTTT